TGCAGTCTATTGTTGATGACTACCGTGGTTAGAGCCGTTGTTTTGAAATTCTTTTCGTTATTTTCGGTTTCAGTTATGCAGTCAGTGGCGATACACTTGGTATAATGAATGAGAAACTTGAATTGTAATCATCTCACTCTGATTCATGTGTACCGTCTTCTGGATTTAATGTTTTAGAGTTTGAACTCTAGCAAATTTTATGATTTTGACTTTCCAAACCGTTCAGATTTAGTCAGCAACTCTTCATGGTTTCTATCCTGGAAGCGGTTTCCGTTTCAGGTTCGTTGTTGGTGGTTACGCATGGTGCTGTGGTCGGTGCGATTCACGAGATTGTAACCGGAAAGTGGAGTTCCGTCGGTCAAGCAACTGTGTCGAAATTCACTCGTTTCAGAAGCGAACAAGGTTTCGTCTGCGAATATAGCGGTGATTCGTCACATCTTAGTAGTTTGGTGAACCTACGAGCGTTCTGAAAGAAAAAAAAGTTGTTCTCATAAGCAATTGAGCTTCGTGAATGACCGATAAAATAGGAAAGTCAAATGACGAGTTGCGGTTTTCATCTTGTGTTGATTAATGAAAATTTGACGATATTGATGCATTTGATTCATCTTGAATGTATGTAAATAATGAAAGAATAGTTTGTTATGTTACTCAATTTGCATTTTCATAATATTGTTTTTAAACGTTCATTTAAAATTGTTTTAATTTATAAATTGTTTTCTGCTGATCGTGCTCATATGCATTTCTAGTCGCATGTGAAATCGTTTGTATTATTCCGATTCTGCTGATCAATTTTCATGTTATTTCTTTAACGTTCACCTAATGGTGAAGGTGTCTACCTGTGTTTTCTTCGAATACGTGTATAGTTTCGAGACCTCATCAGATCGCTGCTATCGTCCTGATGAATGCTCATTGTCACGATTATTATCATTATTATTGTCACGATTATCATTGTAATGATCATCATTCTGATTATTATTATTATTATTATTATATCATTCCCAATCGTTATTGTCAAAATGATTATG